AGGACAGCCTCGCGCCGCGCGCCGCGGAGCCGGGTGTGCTGCCCTCCCGGTCGGGGTGTCCAGGTAGGAGCGTGGGGCCGGGACACCCCTGGGTCTCCGCTGGCTCTTTGCAGCCAGCCCCGCGTGGCCCCGGCTTCCTGCTGTCCCCGCCCCGCTGCCTTCCGCGGCCGGGCCACGCGCCCTTGCTGGTCAGCCTGGGAGGACCGCGTGGGAAGCGGAGGCAGGACGCGGGCTGGACTGCCCCGGGGAGGCGAGGCCTCCTCTGCAAAGGGGAAGGGCGCTCAGCCTTGGGGGGCTGCAGGGGCCTGCGACCCTAGGCAGTCCCTTAACAGAGTGCCTCCGTTTACTCCTCTGTTTAATGGGTCTTAGCGTGCTAACAAGGTGGGTGTGAAGAGCCAGCATAAACCAACTAGAGCAGGGAGTGGATGGCAGTGCCCAGCGACTGTTTGCGCCNTAAATTAACAGCATAAACCAACTAGAGCAGGGAGTGGATGGCAGTGCCCAGCGACTGTTTGCGCCGATATTACAGACGTGCCCACTCCCGCTCTGGGCAAGAATGAGGTGCCAGGCCTGTCTGGGGCCCCCGGTGGGACAGGCCCGGAAAGGCAGCTGCCTCCTGCTCTGCCCTCTCCCTGGCAGAGGGGCCTCATGGAGCCTCCCAGGTGGGTTCCTGTCCTGGCTGCTTTACCCTGAGGCAGCTGCTTCGCTGCTCTGAGCCTGTCTTGGCCTCTGCAGCGGAAGGACGGGGGTCCCTGCCTGCTCAGGGCCCCTCCTTAGGTCCCCTCAGTGGCCGTCGCCCTCTGCCACATAGAAGAAACAGCAGGGTGAGGCGGCTGCCTTCCTAGCCCCTGCAGCCCACACGCCTGGCCTCCCTGGAAGCACCTTAACCCCGCCAATGCCCATGGGGGACCTGGGGCTCAGAGGGGCTTCGGCAAGGTCACCAAGCCTTTCAGGAGCAGAGTCAACACTGGAGCCCAGGCCTGGAGTGCTGAGCAGGAGTGTGCGTATGTGTGTGAGCATGTGTGAGAGAGTGCCTGTGTGTGTGTGTGTGTGTGTGTGTGTGTGTGTGGCCTTTTTGAATTGTGTGCTGAGGGGCACCTGGGGCTTATAATTTGCATTTGCTTTTCCCTCCGTCTCTGTCTCTGTGTGTCCTTTATGCCCTTATCTTTATCTCTGACTCTTGTCTCTCGTGTCTCTGAACTCTCCTCTCTCTGTCTTCCTCAGTCATCCCCGCCCCCCAAACTCCACCTTCAATTGAAAACCCGGGTGGAATTTCCATTGCCTTTCCGGGCAGGTGATTTCAGTCCCCGCGTCCTGCTCCCCCCTCTGCCGCCTCCCCTCGCCCCGCATTATTGCTGAGAGCGGCTCCCTCTCTCCCTCTCACTTCCTTCTCCTGCCATCCGTGGCGTGGAAGTGCTTTTACTGGAGAGCTCGAGAGAAAATCCGCTTCCACACTGTCTGGTCCTAGGTTGTCGGTAGAGTGGGCTCCTTTAGGCCTCTGGTCTGGTCTTGTTCATCCCTCTCAGGGTCTCTCTGGCTCTGGCTCAGCCTCTGGCTTTCTTTTCTAAAAAGTGATGCTGTGTCTCACATCTTGTTTCCTCGTGAACATGCTGTCACCGGGCAATCACTCCTCCTCAGTGTCCTGGGTCACTGTCCCCCTGGGTGGGAGATGCTGGCAGATAGGCAGGGCTGTAGGGGGGTGGGGGAGGATCCTCAGGGCTGACGCAGATGCTCTGGGTTGACAGACTGCGCTCACACAGCTGTGTGCCCAAAAGCAAGCTGCCTTTTTTCTGGGCCTGTTAACCTCCTCTGTGAATTGGGCTTTGAGCAGTATTGTCCAGCCCTCTTCCCAGGGCTGATGGTGGTAGGGGCCCAGAGCTCCTGGGTCCTGAGGTCTGGGGGGAGCATGGGTTCTCCAGCCAGGATGTGCAGGTTTAAATCCTGGCTTTTCCACTCACTAGCTGTGTGACCTTGGATAAGTCACATAACCTTTTTCTGCCTTGGTTTCCTCATCTGTGAGTT